TATATTATATTATTATATTATATTATATTATATTATATTATATTATATTATATTATGTTATTGATATATTGATTATATATTGCCATATATATTATATTATTATATTATTGATATATTGATATTATATTATTGATAAGTTATGAGAAATATTTGAAACCAATTTAAATATAGATAAGTTAATAGCAGAAGAAAATAGAAGAAACCATCATTTTGTATTAGATATTGCTTTTTAGGTAATATACTTTAAAAATGATCATTTATACTTAAAAATATGTAACCATTAAAAACAAAATTTCCCTTATCAACAGTTACACATATGCTTTTTTCTTTAGGTGGAAGCATTTTAAATTGATCTACAGGATGATGTGGGAGTACACACCTACAAAATTAAATATAGAACTCAATTACCAGGGAACAAAACACTTTAACTTCATTTATCTCACCATGAACTATAACAAGGTAAACAATAATATCGTTCTGTTGGGGAGTGATTCTCTATACAAATATAATTTCCCCCTCTGATACAAGGGAAATCAAGTAGAACGATGAAATAATTAATATGTAGGACTCTGCTTAGGTTATTGTGATCAGATACGAATTACGAAAGTATATCCTCAGCATTTATCTATAACTGAGTCTGGCCCAGCCTTATAAAGAGTTCAACATTTAACTTCCACACAATGCCACACAATAGAAAAAGACATCTTCTTCATTATTTACCAAGCTGTTTTTAAGAATCTTTATATCATATTTCCATCTCCAGGGCATCCCATAAACATAAAAAATAGTACAAAATCTAGTACATTATTTTTATACCACTTAAGTCTTAAAATGAAGATTGCAAAAATCCTGTGCTGATCTTCTTCAGAAGATGACAGAATTCCCAATCAGGCCTTTCTGTCACACATTTACCTGTCCTTCTCTTGAATTGCCATTAATTTTTCTGTCTTCTGTATAACTATACYCCTCTGGTTATATTGTTTGTGTAATAAGGCTACTTTGCATAAATTGAGACTTATTGTGTATGAAAGGCTACATTTTAAAATCCTCTTTGCCTCCAAAGTATTCTTAAAATAGTTGCAATTGCCTAGTCTTGTCAAAATGCACCATGTCCGTTTTCAAAAATTCAAGAGAACTAAGGTATTTTTCAAGTATGGAAGGCATGGGGGAGGGGACATTGTATATTCGTTGAGAACARTTTTCTTTGTATATAGAGAAGTAGACCATTTACAATCACAGCCTTCTCAGAATGAGTTGATAGAACTATTCTTTAGATCACATAGGCTTTTTGTGTGTGTGATAAGATTATAACTTTTCTCAGAGAAGCTGGCTTYGAGTTCAAGTAGCAGTCTATGCTATTTTTCTGCAACATTATTCAGATGCAATCAAATATCATACAGAATATTATCAAATGGAAGAAGTCTTTTCTGAAATTCTTGAGAAAGTCTGCCTCATCCACTCTGCAGCTGTAATATCAGCGCAATATTCTAATTATAGTAATCTTAATCTATGCAGACTAGGTTATTAAATGTGACATATGCTTTAATTGTTGACAGATGGCTTTGAACCTCACATAAATATTTATAAGATCACATATATTACTATAGCTAGCACACACAAAATCTCAAGACATATTAATCTATCTTTTCTGAATCTTTTTCCTTGCACTTGCAAAATCAGGATTATCATAACCATTCTATCATTATCTGCAGCCTTCAAAAGGACCACCTCCTTTTTGAGACCTGCATATGAATAGAACATAGATTTCAATATTGGTTACTTTGGAAATCAGAGATTTCAGCAGTATTATTGTATGGGGTTAGCCCATGTGTCTTCAATTATTAAATATTTCCATTGTGCTCTTTATTCTTGTTCAGCCTTGGCTTCACTGATGACCTATATAGAAGACATCTTTGGAAACCTTTCTATATCCAAGTACAATTCAGAAAACAAATTGGCTCAATCCAGTACATTTTTCATTGATATATGTATTTAGTGCACTGGTTCTTCTTTTATTACAACTTTAAAATCTAGTTTACACCACATAAAATAAGAAACTTGGTTATATTATTTGCACATTTAAAAAAATAGACCACATTTACAAAACTGCCATATAAGTAGCTTATTCAAAACTTGTACCTGAGCTTTTCAAAATTGTCTTAGTATAAACTTTAACTGAAAGATTAAGTGAAATTAATTGAAGATTGAGATGGTCTCACAAGTCAGAGAAATTGCTAAAGTCTCCTTTCATCTGTTCAGGTGGGTGTCACATCATGTAATTTTAGCAACCAGACTTTAACATCTGTCTTTGCAGAAAGACAGATTCCTCAAAGGAAGAATTCACCTCAACCTAAAATATGCTAAAAAAGTTGTTTATTAAAGCCAACAGACAGATTTCCTACTCTGTTTTGCAAAACAAGCATTTGTGCAGGAATGAGACCTAACATGTCTTCACTTCTGAATTTGTCTGCCCAGTTTAGACTTCTGCTAGTTAGTTAAGTGAGTTTTAGTTACCTTTTAGATACCAGATCTGTTCAGATCTCTTATAGCTTGGAAAGAAACAAGCATCTTCAGAAGAAAATCAAGTTCATCATAAAATAAGCTCCAAATAAAAAGGTATGGTCATACACATTAATGATTTAGGAAGAATATTAGCTACATGTTTCAAAGAGGATTAAATTGTCTCCTGAGTTCTTTTACTAAAAGTTTCTTCCTCTAAAAGCAACTCCTGGAAAATGGCTCACAGTAGGTTGGTGCAGGAGGAGGAAGGGAGACAGAAGGAAGAAGACAGGAAACAGGAGCAGTGGGATCATTTAAAATTAGAAAGCCAAAATGAGAGAGTCTAGGCTTGGCTTTTTTTTTTTTTTTTTTTTT